GTTTTTCTTACTCTTGAGGATGATTAATCACATTGCAGACGTCAGAGCAATTAAACTAATCTCACAAGTTTGGCACATGCTGATATTTCAAAATGACATTTAATAAAATCAACAAATTTTATATACATAAGACACATACACGTGTGTATGTGTATGTTTATGTGCGTTGTATATATGGGCGCTTTTTATCTAATCGAAGACAACAACAACTGTCGCGAGCTGCCTACAAGAACAAAAAGCACTTTTCAGGGCTTTGAAGAGGCAGCAAAACAAAGCGCCAGCAGCGCAGCAACGAACTTTGCGACGCGTCGCGACGTCGCTTTTCGCACGCACGCATTCACACACACACGCAAACGAATTGTACACATTACACGTACGCAAGCATACAGTATTTTGCTCTCACAGTCACAGCAGTTACATGACCATTCACAATGCTGCGCTGACAGCTGCCAGAACATTCCATTTGTATGCGTGCGCAGAGTGAACAAAAAATGTAAACACACGAATACTTGAAATATTGCTGACAATGTGCGCCTTGTCATAGGCAGCGGCAGCAGCACCAAGAGCATCATGTGCTTTGAGTCACGCATGCTGCTGGCTTTTTTTTCTCTTTTGTATTGCTCTGCCGACAGCACGTTTACCAGCCTTTGGGACGCAGTCTTGTGATGTGTGGTGAACTTTTCTCTACGACTCAAAAGCTTACCTTACGTAGTGACATTCACTACTACGAAGACGACTGTTGCATCTCGTGCTGCGAACAAGTCACCAATAGTATAACGGTGGGTGTAAGACTGTGTTTGCAAATGCATATACATGTGTACGAGCGTGTGTGCGTACGTACGTTTGCTATAATAGTCGAGTCGAGCTTTTGATTTTTAATTGCATGCTGTGTGGTGATTATCCTGTACATTGACATGACAAATTTAAGCTGGTATTAGCATGCATATATGTATATACACATGTACAAAAGGTCGCATATACATACATTTGTATGTTTGTATGTGTATGTACGCACAGACAGTGCATAAGATTAGCTAAAATCATTCAAATGTTTGCTTCTTCTTTTTGATGGGGAAACTTAATCCACATACTATGTACATATGTATATATGACATGACATATGTATGTATATGCACACACTTTTGTTAGACAATGATATGTACATTATTGATAAGAAATGCTGCAAGCGGAATTAACAAATGTTTATGTAATTGCTGAATTTGACTATAGAATGGCATGCGACGTCATGTATACAAATGTATGCAAATAGCGCTTATCTGTGTTTCGTCTGAATAAGGCTTATTTGTGACCATACATATATACATACATATGTACATACGCGCACAGAGTGCATCAACAGGTGCCGCCTTGTAATACGTTCAGTGAACCATAAGAAAGTAAAATTAACATTTATGAGCAATCTGTAGATGAGCTCACACCCCTTTCCTCTTTCGACTGAGCTAAGCACATGTAAACACATTTTTCCCACGACCTGCGATTACAGTTTACAGTTATTTAATGATGAAATCTTCGTTGGTGTGTATGTGAATGAATGAATATAAAAGCCTAGGCGATTACAGACATACATATGTACCTATTTAGCTGACATAAGACATGAGCAACTTAAATAATAATCAAGCCAAGCAACCCCACAGTCCGCTTCAACGATTCGCCCACACATTGGGGCAAACAATTTGAAAATGCGCGCAAATTAGTTGCGCATGGCAAATGCTTAGAAGCAACAACAACAACAACAAGAGTAATGGAAGAGCAAAAAAGAAAAAAAAAGGAGCACAAAAGTGTGAAATATTAGCGATGCTAATTATAGATGATTAAAACTCATGTCATTCATAGAAAGCATACAAATGAAACAGAAACAATAAAACAATTACGCAACTAAGCAAAACAAAGCAAAAACAATGAATTATGTCTGTTGCGGTAATGTGTTATAGCTTATAATATAAGCTAGGCCTACAAAAAAGTAAATTTAAACGCTGCCAACTTAGCTCGTTACTTAACAGTAATTTCAAGCTTTTAGCAAGATGCACTTAATACGAATTAAAGATTATTATCAAGGTGCATTTTAAGACTATTATAAATTTTTAATTTTTATTTAATATAATTTTTTTTTAGCTTGCACAAAGTTGTGAAATTGCAAATTGCATTTGCATTTCGTGAGACTGTGCAATGCTTTTCTATCGACATCGTTAGGATAATCGATTGCAGTGTGGCCACAGATTGCGGCCTGCAACTGTAGTGTTGTGCAACAAATCGAATTGAATAGAACTAGCAGATGGGCAACGCTGCAGCAATTTAAATTTAAATTTAAACGAATCAATTGACAGCGAATGCAGATTGCACCTGTTTGTTTGTCTGTCTGTGTGTCAACGAATTGAGATTGTCATTTTGAATTGCTTAAATTGATGTCAATATATTGAAAATAATATTAATGTGTATGTGTGTGCTTGTGTTTTACAGACAATAAACCAAAACCGGAAACTATTGAAATCTATTCTGTGAAGATACGAGAAAACGGAACCTACAAGCTAATCAAAATGTCATTGGCCGACATCTGGAGCCACGGCTGGGAATTGCGCATCAATAACTTCGCTGACAAGGAGAAAGCGCCGCACAACGAAAAGGACATACGCAATCAGGTAAATTTTCAATATACAATTTCATTCTATTTCAACTGTTTGATTGTTTTTTTTTTTTTTTTTGCTGTATTTTGCAGGTGTCGCTGGCACGCAAGGCCAAGCAGAGTCTGTGGAATAATAATAAGCATTTTGTGTACTGGTGCCGTTACGGCAGTCGCCAGCAGGATGTGCGCAAGCGACAGGTAACGACGAGTGCGAATCACGTGCTGCTGCATTTGATCAACTGATAAGCAACGCACCTATATACTCTAGCTCTATATAGGCAGTATCATATTCTGTATATTCCAAATGCCCGCCACACACACACATACATACAGACAACTAACACACACATGAACACATTGTTATAGGTGCAACAGCAAAGCACACACACACACACATACACAAACTCGCACAACCGTTAACTTGGCCAACTTAAAAAAAAAAAAAAAAAAAAAAAAAAAAAAAAAAAAAAAAAAAACGGACAAAAACCAAAAATTGTAATCGAAATATTCATATATACATATTGATGTATTGTATATGTATGTATGTACGTGCATTCGACTGATCTGAACAGAGCTATGCCAAATTCGATCTATGTATATATAGATATATATGTATATATAAATATATATGTATATATACGTTCAGTGATAAATCGCAGCGATTTGATAAACATTCATTAGTTCATCAATTGTATTTTGTGTCAGGCTACACAGCAGCAGCAGCAGCAGCAACATCATCAATTATAGGCGCAAGCAATAATATAATAATTCTAATATTTATAATAGTAATGCGAATCGCCTGTGTTTTGTTAAATCGTGTTGCAAATCTTTACAAGTAATCAAATGTATCTTGCAGATGTCCGAGTGCGTGAAATGGGGCAGCGTTGGCATGAATGCGGGCATGTTGCTGGTGCTCAATAATAGGCAAAAGTGCCACTCCCACTCAAAGTAACTAACACACACACACACACATATAATCTATATATACATTGGCATACATACATACATACAAACATACATACATACGTACGTACGTACATACATAGATTGCTTGAAATTCTTCTTCTGGCTTTGTCACAGAGCGAAACAAAAGAAAACCAAACAAAACCCAAAGCAAATTGTGATAAGATAAATCATATTTTAGCGCCAAACAAATGCAAATATATGTATATTTATTAACATATGTTTACTCTATATACGTATGTAAACGACATGCAAAAGAAACAGCAACCAGAACACAGCGAACGTGTGAGCCATAGCGAGTGTTAGAGAGCAGGCTCTGAATTTGTTACTTTATTTAATTGGCAGTATTAGATTAAAATAAAAAAAAAGTGGCTAATACAGCGTGCACACACACACATACACATTAACACAATCACACACACACATTTGCTGTTGCAACTTTGAGAATACGCGAAATACAAATTGTATTTGAAATTTGTATATTTGACAGAGAGAGAGACACACTGTGAAATTCGAAAAGACTTAACAATTTGTTGTTTTTTTTTTTATTATTATAATTATTATAATTATTGTCATTATTTTAATGATGTATTATAGCTATTATAATATAATTATTATTATATATATATATATTCTGTTGTCATAGAAATATGAATAATCGAGCAGGCACTTTATTGTTGTTTTCTATACAATTAAAGAAAACAAAAACAAAAGGCAAGCAAAAATGGCGTTTTGCAACACTTTTTTGCTACTGCATACTTTTGTGCGCGCGCTCAATTACTCTACATAAGCGCGCTGCACATATTCCCCACACACACATACACACACAAAGTCACCACACCTCAATTCATGCATTGCGCGTAACGTAACGAGACGTAACGGCAACCAATTAGTTTGTAATTGATAACATTCACAAACACACATACATACATACACACACACACACACACACACACACACACATAAATACGTTTAACTATATAATATGTATTTTTGTTTTTAGTCTCTTAAGCGATTTTTAAAATATTTATATATATTATATATACTATATACGATAATATATACATACATTTGGCAATGTGAAATTTAAATATGAAATGTTTGTAAAATGCTTTATATTTGGATATTATTAAATGTTTACCAACGGACAACTAATTTAAAAGAGACTTTTATTCGACTGAATATTGAAAATGGGAATTGGGAGTACCCTGGAGAAGTTTATATAGTTTTTGATTCTCAGCAAAATTCTGGTAATAAAAAGCCTAAGATGAAATTCTGCTTATATACTCCATATATAGAGAAACGCTTTGACTTTCTCGTACATTTCATAACGCTCGGACAACAAATACTTAAAAGTTCTTAGGGGGAGGTGGAAACACGAATGCTTTAAACTCACCTCACGCAGCAATCCGAAGAGCACGTCCGTTGAGAGCGAACGCTCGTGCGCCTCGTCCATAATGATAGCCGAATAGCTGTCCAGGTCCGGATCGCGCAGGCTCTCGCGCAACAAGATGCCATCGGTCATGTACTTGATAACGGTGCGCTCGGACGTGCAGTCCTCGAATCGTATAGCATAGCCGACATCCTCGCCTGCGAAAAGGGATTCAGTGGTTGTAAGGCAATGCCGATTGAGTTGCGTAGCATTCGACTTACCCAGCTGGGTGCCCATCTCGTCGGAGACGCGTTTGGCCACCGACATGGCGGCAACACGACGCGGCTGGGTGCAGCCGATCATGCCACGCTTGCTGTAGCCATCCTCGTGCAAATACTGGGTGAGCTGTGTGGTCTTGCCGCTGCCTGTTTCACCCACAATAATGACCACAGAGTTCTCGCGTATAACATTGAGCAGCTCCTGGCGTGAGGCGAAGACGGGCAGGAAGCGACGCTGTTCGCCGATTGTTTTCTTGCGCGAGAAGTCGCTTTTGCCCTTGTTGTCCTGCATGTCGCGCATGTGATCGGCGAACTTCTGATCCTTGCGATAATCGGCAGTGTCGTTGTCCTTGTCGAATTTGGCATCGTCCTCGTCCTGCGGCCGCTGCACGCCCATAATGTTGCCCAGCTTGGTGCCGCCCAGGTCCCAGTGTTTCTTCTGGGCCTTGCGGCGCTCCTTTTGCTCCCGAAAGTTGCGCACCAGCAGGCTGCCCTTTCGTGCCAGCAGAGCCATATCCGAGGTGGGATCCTTGACGGGCACCACCGGTTCCGGCTGCTTGGTGAACACGATGCGGCCGTCCAGAAACGGTGGCACTATATGATGCACCAGCAAATGCACTCGCTCCAGCGCCTCCTCATCGAAGTCATCGCTCACATTTATGGAGGTGACAACGCCGGAGGTTAACATGCGATTACGCTCCCACAGCTCGTTGTCACGATTGTTCTGCCGCTGCTGGGCGCTGATGCGCTTCTTGCGCTTCTGCTCCAGCTGCTCTTCGCGACGTCGAAAGTAATCGGCATTGCTGCCGCCAAACGGATTGTTCTCGTCATCGTAGCCCTCGTCTATGTTATACCATTCACGGTCGAGGCGTCGCTGCTCCTCTTCCCACATATCACGCAGCTCGGCATCTTCGGCCCAGGGCGTTGCGCCGCTTCGCTTGCGATCGTGCGCCCACTGATTGTAACGATGTGCGGGCGTGGCACGGGTCGTGTCATCGGCATACCGGCTGCGACTGCTGTCTCGCACGGACCTATCGCCGAAACTGGAGCTACTGCCATAGCCGGAGCCAGCGCCGCGTGGTGTGGGGAAGTCCCAGTCGGATTTGCGTCCGCTGCTGGTCTCGCCATCGTCATCATCCCAGGAGCTGCCGGAGACACCTCCACCTGGTGTACCAGGCTCTCTAGGTGTGTTCACGCTGCGCACCGACGCCGAGCGATCTCGGTTGCGATCTCGATCTCGGTCCCTATCTCTTCGTCTGCCATCTTTGTAGAGCTCCTGGTCCTGTTCTCGTGCTCGCTTGCGCCTCTCATCGCCGCGACGCTGTCTATCCCGCTCACGCTCTCTATCTCTGTCTCTGTCTCTCACCCTGTCGCGATCCCGCTTGCCATCTGAGTCATCGCGCGTCGATTTACGAACAGCGCCTTTATGGCGATCCCGATCCCTTTGGATGTGCTCGCGCAGCCGCTCTCTGGCCTTCTCAGAGACGCCGCCCGTGTACGATGGCGTCTCGTCTTTGTGCTCGCGTAGCTGCCGGCTGAGCTTCTCGAAGCTCTTCGTGTCGGGCTTCTTGAAGGCAAATTCGCTGACGGGCGTAGAGGCGTTGGCTGAGCTAGAAGGTGTACCGCCGTCATCGTACTCATTGTCCTGAAAGGAGATCAGGCGCGCTTTTTCAGCACGTCGCTTGGCCGCTAGCTTGTCTAGGCCCAGAACCGAACCTTTCGGCACCTTAAAGCTGGGGCTCTTATTGTCGCTGTCTTTGGGCTTTTTGAGCACCAGGCCGCCACGCTGCTCCTGGCCAGAGGTGCCCTCCAAGCGATGCACGCCTGCATCATCCTCGGACATGCTATTACTTCGCGTTTATTAAGTTATCTTTTGTTTCCACAAAACGTACCGAGCGCGTTTCAGAATAGAGGTGGAATACTATCGATATATTATGGAAGTACCGATAGTTGGCAATACCCGACAGTTTTTCTCCAACAATTTGAATATTAACTTTATTAATATTGATATTTTCATAATAAATTTCTAATTGCTGTTAATGCTCCGACTCTCATGTCACAACCAATACAAATTTAACCATTTTAAATAATTCCAATTCTAAACATCGAAAACATCTCATCTCTATTTTACAGCACAGCTGAGTGCTGTAAATGTGTAGCAAACTCTCCGGCAACTCCCGTCAATGGCGGCGAAAGTAAAACAACAGTTAGTCTCAACGTAATGAACTTAATCGTTTATTAATTTTCATTTTCTTTTTTTTTTCATTTTTCATTGTCTATCGAGTACCGTTTGGCTTATCCAATTCAGATATGGTGGATTTCCAGCCTGTATTGGCAGCGATATAACCTCCGCCACGCTATATGGATGATTCTCGCGCACAAACTTGCTCAACTCATCGATGCGGCTGGTGCGTGTCTTGATCATCATTAGATACTCATTATCCTCGTTCACCTTACCTTCCCACATATAGATGGATTCGATTTGCGGTATGATATTCACACAGGCCGCTAGTTTGCGTTCGATGATGCTGCGCGCCAGTTTCTTTGCAGACTCCTTGTCGGGTGTGGTCACAAAAGCAACGGAACTGCTGCCGGCTACATAAACAGGATCTGAATCCATATTGCTCAGTTTATTATTACTTATTTGGTTTTGGTTGGCAATGGAGGAGCTATTGCCGGATGTACTGCAAGCGGTTGTCGCAAAGGCCGTGCGGCTTGTGACGGCGGCCGTAGCAGCAACAAGTATTAAATTGCGAGTGAGTAGCCAACGATAGGGCACCGACCTTGCCTTTCCCAGATATTGCATTAAATGCACTTTGCTCGGCCAATGAAACGCTGTGAAATAAAACCAAAACAACAGTCGCCGCGATACTTAGCAAAAAGCATCGAAATATCGAAAGTTTATATTCTCGTTAGCTATCGATATAGTTAAGCTTACACAGCCGATATTTTCAAAGTTAAAATTTTTAATTTCCATTTTTTGTATTTTAGGACTTGTGTTGAAGAAGCTTGAAACTATAAAAGAGCGTATAATTATTATTTTTTATTTATTTTTTATTTTTTACATTGAACTTTTCTAAAATATCTACTTTTACACGTATGTATTTATAAAGGTTTTATTTTTAATTGTAATATTATGATGCCAAGTAAAATAATTATTTAATAAATCTGGTAGAAATGCATTAAAAAAAAAAATGAATATACTTTTTAGCTTAAGACTAAATGTTTTTGTTTTTTTTTTTTGCTTCACTATTATGGTGCGCTGTACATTGATGGGGAGTCTAATTTACAACGCACACATGCGAGTGATTGGATTGGAGCGAGTATGCGTAGATGGTTGAAATGTGTCTCTAGGGATTTGGCTGTTGCTTGTCCCTAGTCCGTCTCGTGCTTGTCCGAGTCAGGCTTCGATGCCGCATCATTTGCCGCTGACGTCGGAGCCGATGGCGGTGGCGGCTGTGAGGCGGGCGTTCCACTCAGCGGTGGTGGTGCAGCTGCTGCTGCTCCGGCTGGCACTGGAGCGCCTGCTGTTGGTGGAGGCGCTGCTGCTGCTGTAGCTGGCGGAGGTTGGGTCGCCTGTGGCTGTGGAGGCTGGGGTAGCGCATGCGGTTGTTGTGGTGGCGGCGGCTGTTGTTGTTGCGCTGCATAAACCGCGCCCGGACCTGGTGCCGATTCGTGCATGTGCCCCGGTGGCGGTTGCTGTGGTGGTGGTTGCTGCTGTGGCTGCGGCTGCTGCTGTTGCTGCTGTGGCGGCGGTGGAGGCTGCTGCTGCTGCTGTTGTTGTTGTGCTGCACCAGGTGGTGCACTGACGCCGCCATGCTCCCGAGCGCTGGTGAAGTGCAGCGGCGAATAGGGCTGATAGGGCGGCAGGTGCGTGTAGTAGGGCTGCGGTCTCGAGTGCGGTCCATACTGCGGCTGGTAGTAGTGCGTGTGCGAGTGCTGGCCGGGGCCGGGACCACCATAGTTGGCATAGCCCATGTGGGGCAACGGCGGTGGCAGACCAGGCATGCCGCCAGGTGGTGGCTGCTGAGGCGGCTGCTGCTGTTGCTGCTGGGGCGCCATGTGTGGCGGCATGTGTGGAGGCGGTGGGCCACCTACATGCGCGTGTGGATGCATTTGTGGAGCTGCTGCAGCTGTTGGTGGTGGTTGTTGTTGTTGCTGCTGCTGCTGTTGCTGCGGCTGCGGCGGTGGCGGCGTTGGCGTCGTCGCTGGCGGCTCATTGTTTAGCGGGGGCGGCGGTGGTGTTGCCGCAGGTGTTGCTGTGGGCGTGGTCGCTTTGCCCGGCATGGCCAGCACCGTGGGTGGCGCCGGTTTCATTGGATCTTTGATGGATTCGTTCAGTGGCACCGGCGGCAAATCCAGTTTGTCGTGCTTCGAGGGCGGCGGCGGCGGTGGCACTGACGGCTTTGGCGACGGCTCAATGTCCATGGGTTCCGGATCCGTTTTGCTGGCCAGCTCATGCACGGGCGCCGGTTGTGGCTGTGGCTGCGGCTGCGGCGGCGGTGGTGGCGCCACCACAACAGGCGGTTTCACGGGCTCCGGTTTCGGCGCAACGCTCGCCTCGGGTGCCGCCGGCTGCGATTGTGGTGCCTGCTGCTGCTGCGCTGCATCCTCTTTGCGATTGGGCCCCTCCTCGATGCGCTGGCCCCGCTTGAAGTCTTCGTACATGCGATGCACCATTTTCTGAAATGTGTCCTCGTCCACGGCGGGCTTGCAGTGGCGCTTGAGCTCCTCCTGGAAGGCATCGCTCGACTCGAGCATTCGCTGCTTTTTCGCCTCGAACTTCTCCTCCATCTGCTGCAGCTCAGCCTCTAGCTTGGTCTGGTGCATGGTCAGCGAACTGACCTGACGTTTGAGCACCTGCATCCGTTGGGTGGTCACCACGGAGCGCACGTCCGGCACCACAGCCTCCGAGAATATCTCGTTGATTAGCCGATGGTTGCGCAAATATCGTGCATAGGCCATATGCTTGGCCGTGTATCCTTCGTCCATATCGTCTTCATCCTCTGCCGGCTGTATGTCGATCCGGCGCTCGTGTTGGCTTTTACTGCCGCCGCCACGCGACGGCGTCTCATGGACATCGGTTATCTCAGGTTTCACCTTGGACTTGGCCGATATATACGCCTGGTAGGCGGGCGTCTGATGGTATGCCTTCAGTGCCTTCTCATACTCCAGCTTCTCGGCCTCGTACTCATCAATATACTCGGTGCGCTCTTCCTCGCTCAGCTGCTTCCACATGACGCCAATCTTCTTGCCCAGCTCCCATAACTTCAGTTCCGGATGCTGAGCCTTTACGCTGTCCCACACACGCTTCGAGTACCGCATATAGGGCAAAATTGGTTTCTCTGGCGGCTTCGGTGGCTTTGGTAAACGGGATTCGGTTTGCGTTTTGCTGCTCGATGATTTAGTCACTTTTTGTGGCGTAAATGCCGGATTTCCATAATTGCTATGCGTAAATATGGGCGTCTGATCCTTATTCCTATCACCAGCAGCGCCACCGCCAGAAGAACGAGACCGGCTACTGCCACTGCCGCCACCGCCACCACCGCCGCCACCGGCACCACCGCTTGGTAGCGGAGTTGCCGGCCCTGATGGTGCCCCAACAGCGATTTGTTTGTAGTTGCTGGGCAGCGCCATGTTTAGTAACATATATATATAGTTATATTATACTTTTTTGAGTGTGAATTGTGTTTTGCATAGATTTCCAAAGCAAAAACAACAAAAAAGCGAGTTTAATTCACGCGGACGCCATTGATGGGTTTTTCTCTATACTGAAAATTGGAGATTGCATGCAACGCGTCACAGCAATCGCTAACCGATAGTTTTCATGCCATATTCGCGTTTCACAGCACTGAATTACAACTCAAATATGATTATTTATGCGTTTTTTTGTTTTGTATGGCAAATACATATGTAATTATGTGATTAATAAGTTGCTTATTTTTATCGTAACATTCATGAAAGAAAGACAGTTTTATTGTTTTTTTTTTTATTTATTTATTTGTTTTTTTTTTTTTTAATATTTCCTAAGGATTATATGAATTTATTAAAATATTCTTAACTAACCTCGCTTATCATTCTTATTTATTATTTACCAATATAAATTGTTTATTTTGCTAAATATCTGAACGTATATTATTTTAAAATGTTTCATAAAGAATTTGAATTTCGTTCACAAGTTTATAGTAGTTCCTCGTTCATATGAACTAGTTCTGAACGGAATGTACCAGCTGTAGCACCGGTCAATCCAATACGTAATGTGTTTTTTTTTTTTGTTTTTAAAAAACACTTAGTTGTTGACACTTAGCAAATTTATTAGATATTTTTGTTGGACATAGGACTCCTTGACTCCTTGCCCCCGACCTGGAGTAGCCTAAATTTTACTCAATCAGTTTACTCTGAACACTTGACGAAAGCAGAAGTTTAAAAAATTGAATAATAGTTCATATATATTTTTATTTTAAATCAAACTCATAACATTTGGCTTTTATAGAATGGAGAGAATACGTGTATTTATACGTGTCGCTCAGGCAATCCAGAGGACTAACCGCTACAGTCATATCGCGGCACTTAGACATCGCAACTTCACTCCCATTTCGGAGGACAGCGACAGCAGCAGAGGGCCTGAAGTTGTTGGAGGAGTATTATCTCGTCACTGCAGCAACCAGCTCAAGCCTGACTATGTTGTGGATGACGTGGTATATGAGCGTGTCTGTATGGAGACATTGGAATCACTGTCCGACTACTTTGACGAACTCACTGAGAATGCAGCCGAACTGACCGGCGCCGATGTGATCTTTGGGGTAAGCGCGAGGAACTGCACTCCATATTAACTAGACCCCAACTAACCAATCACATTTGCAGGATGGTGTGCTGAGCGTTAATCTGGGCACAAAATATGGCGTCTATGTGATCAATCGGCAGCGACCCAACAAACAAATCTGGTTAAGCTCGCCCACAACCGGACCCAAACGCTTCGATTATGTTATTCAGCCGGGGCAAACTAACGGCTATTGGGTCTACAAGCATACGGGCGTAACGCTACATCAGGTGCTCCAAAATGAAATCACACAAATCATCACATCGATGCCCGTCAACTTCATGGCTCTGCCCCATTGCAACTGAGGCGCAAACATTTTGCAAGTGTTGCAAATTGAAAATGTTAAATTAGATTCGCTGAATAATACAAATTTTAGGTTTTAGAAAAAATGCAAAACATGAAAAAAAAAAAACTTAATTATATATCAAAATCAATTATGGTTTGTCACTTGTTAAGGAGCACGCGACTTGAAGATACCCTATGTTCGATTTAGCAACTTAATTTCCTTAGTTAAACTATTTTTAGGTATTTACAGATATATATTTATATATAGTCTATTTGTTCACTTTGTGCGCAGATTATATGAAACGTTTTTATTTAAAAATTATGAGGAAAATGTATCGGTTGATACGTGTTTAGGAATAATTTAAATATAAATATGTATATATAACGATATATAACGACAGAGACAAGACACAGCTTAACATAAGTTGTGGAGAAAATAAAAATATGAGCATACCTTATAAGGCATATATTGAGTATATTTTTAAAACTATTCAATAATACGGCTTGACTTTATAAGACTTAAGAATTCCAATTGGCAGCAACAGGAGCGATGGCAGGGATATCGTATTCATGATAGATCACTCCATGTGCGATCTATCTTCAATATGAAAATCGATTCCAGTTCACTATCCATAGATGATTATCTGCTTAGTATCGCATATCGAACCAATTTAAATTGCCTTAGCTCTCCAGTTCTGTCTCTCATGTGAGATCCGCTCCAAAGGCTAGCTCAACGGACGCGCCACGATCTGCATCATCCGGAGCTAATGGAAGACAAGTATCTAGACCTAATTTGATTATTACACTTAAGACTAGTTAAATAAATATGTACAACAAAAGTTAAACAACTATTCTAGGCCCAATTGGATTCAATTTCAGCTTTAATTCAAATTATGTACAGATGTAACAAAAAAAAAAAAAAAAGTTGCCTTTATTTGCGGGTGATGCTTTGACTTGGATGGTGACTAAAATATATACAATGTCTGCATACATATATACGCAATATATGTTCAAATATATATATGTATACATATATAGATGATGGGTATCATTCCGAGATGAGAAAAAGCTTAAATCCTATCAAGGTTTCGTTTTTTGTTTGATACAGAAATTGGCCGAACTAGTTGCGGCGCACTCAATGATGACGGCCAAAAATGTTGTTATAGTGCGGCGGCTGCTGCTGCGGCGGCTGTGGCAAGAAGTTCGGTGGCATGTTGTTAAACGGCTGCGGCGGTCCATTGGCCGCCCAGGGATTCATTTGGCCACCATAGCCACCGTTGGGCGGACCGTATGCATTGTAGTTGCCCATATTATAAGGTTGCTGTTGCTGCTGCTGCTGTTGTTGTTGTTGGTGCTGCTGCGGCGGCGGCTGTTGCTGTGGCATATTTGGATAGGTGGGACCGCCAGACAGCTGATCGTGGCCAAAGTTATAGTAGCTATCGTTACCAGTCGGTACTACTGCCGAGCTGCCACCAATTGCCCCATTCATGTTGCCGAATTGTGTGGGTTGCTGCGGTGGTGGTTGCAGCTGTTGTTGTTGATGCTGCTGTGGGATACCACGCATTGGCTGCAGCTGTTGATGAAGTTGCTGCTGCTGCTGCTGCTGCTGTGACTGCTGTTGCTGCAGCTGCTGCTGCTGCTGCTGCTTGGCAGCGCTGTTTGCCTGATTGGTATTGCTGGTCAATGTGCCCATCAGATTGGCAATGATGTTCTCGGTGTCCTTTAGCGAAATCTTCGATGCCGCCGGCTTGAAGGTCAGCGCATTGGGTGACATTGCTGCCGGCACAATGGGCGGCATGGGCGTGGTCTTCTTCTTGTTGCCATTCGAGCTGTTTGCCTTCATCACCAGATCATCGAAATTGTAATCATCGTCGTCATCATCATCCAGTAAAAATTTGGGTGAATTGCGACGCTGCACTTTCGCCGACGAGGGCTGTTCACGCTCCATGCTCTTGCGACGAACTGCAGCAGCAACGGCAGCTTCGACAGCATCGTCAGCAACACCAGCAGCACCACCGCGCGAGCTGCTGCCTATGGGCCGTCCATTGGCCACAACACGTGAGAGATAATCGCTGCAGGATTCGCCATCGCTGCTTAGCTCGGCAATGTTCACGTATTTGCGCAAACGCTCAACGCGTATCGGTTCCAATTTCTCCAGCTTGCGCAGATGGCCAATCAGATGCACCTGCTCCTCGTTGGACAGAAACTTGAAGTTCTGCAGCAGAGTCTGCAAATCGGAATCGGTGAGCGATTCCATCATGTTGTTGCCAGTATCATTGGTGGCTGCCTTCGCCTTCAGATCGTTGCCAGTCTCCTTTGCCAGCTGATGCTCCACCTCCTTCATTAACTCACAAATATCAATGTCCAGCATGCCGACGCCAGTGCCAGTGCCACTGCCACTGCCAACGCCTCCGCCACCGACACCGCCACCGCCACCACCGCTGCCGCCCTTGTGGTTGCCCTCATGAGCATCATTACTGTAATTGGGAAGTCCCAGGCGGAGCGGCACCTCGCCAAAGCTGAAGCCGCTTTTTCTATCCACCTGGCGGCGGCTGTGATCCGTCTTCACCAGCAGCGTGAAGAAGTGCACCAATTTGTTCATATCATCGGTGCTCAAGTTGTCCATACCATTCAACACCAGTTCGCTGGCCAGTTTCGACGAGACGAGCTGTCTATCGAAGGGCAGCTGGTACTCTTTCTTTTTGGCCAAATCCGTTTGCTTTGGCTCATGATCATGCACCTCTTGAACACCTGTTTTATAGGAGTGGTTGTGTGTGTGTGTGTGTGTGTATTTGTGTTATGTGGGTGAAAAGGAAGGAGCAACATAAAAAACAACATTAATTCATTTATGATTACATTCAAATATTAGAAATGGTCTTTGTCAAAAAGAAAAAAAAAGAAAATAAACTTAAGTCTTACGTCAATTCATACTTAAGAGGGGATGAGACAATGCGACGCATCCAGCCGATTTCGACAGCGAACACTTAACCAGGACGCTTGTCCATACTTTATTTATTATAATTTTGTAATTAATATATTTAATATTATTATTTAATTATTTTACTTTTTCATGTTTCATTTTTTTTTCAACACTTTAAGCACTAACCTGAGGGACGCTCATGCGAAACGTAACACTGCACCGAGAGAGCTCACGTAGAGCTCCCGAAACAAACCAAAAAAAAAAAAAAAAATAAAAAAAAAACTCGCAACGGGGCATAGAGGGCTAAAATACCGCCAGATATATAGCCAAGGATATATAAATATATATATTTATACAAAAATATACCCAAATATGTATAGTATATGTCTATATATACAATACAATACAATATACACGATAAATATAGTAAATAAGTAAAATTTTCAGATGAAACCGATTTAACCGGAAGATCTTGTACGACATTTGATATATGTATTACATCAAACAGATATAATATTTACACATACATATATTTTAGATTAGGTATAAAAACTAATCGATAACGTTGTAATCGATATTTATTAGTGCGAAAATGGTTCTTAAATGCAAATGATCTTAAGTCCCAAAAGGAGACAATATGAATATATGCCTAAAATCTTAAGCAGGGAAGCCCATAGTTAGAGAGAGACATGTTGATCGGGGGGAATATACATATACATATGTATATATTTAATATCCCAGACATGGTCCAATAACTCAAGATAACTTACAATAGAATTACTTATAGCACACGCATAAAAAGTTTTCCGAATTATAACTAATTCAAGACGTTTTCGTGTTTGTATTTAATCAAAGCCCGAACGAACGCAAAGACAAACGCGAAAACTGAGAATTCGAGCTGCTTAAACGTATTCCGATACAGCGAGGTTGAGTCAATCAAACAGATCGCACAGAAGGTATTGAATATTTCCAGCTTACCAAGAGAGGATTTTGGTTGAATCGTTTCTTTTTTATTGTCGGCTCTTGGCAATGGAAATATTCAGCCCAAATGTGCGCAACTGTCCGAGCGAGCTCTCCCAACGCCTTACGCCGGTAACGAGCAAAGACACAATACTTACCCCCATTCCGGACTATTGGATTGGCCTCTGTAAAGTGAAAGGATTTGGGTATCGATATCGTAATGAACTTACCCCTGGAGGTCACTTGGAAGATGATGGTGGCTATATTGCTGATTAACTTTTTCACAACGCGCACTTTTTGCGGATCATCGAGCACTTCGGCAATGAGTATACCCTTTAGCTTCTCCTTGGTGGTCTCCAAGAAGACACAATTGTCCTCGTTCAATAAGAGATCGTCGGCAGCGTTCGGTTTGATTTTCTCCATGGCCAGCGCTTTGCTCAGCAGATTCAGAGCCTTGGGGCCCAGACTGCCCAACTGATCCTCTAATGCGGATAGCATGCGCAGCACACTGACCACGGTCAACGGACCCTCGGCCTCTTCGGCCGGCTCTGGCTCCTTCTCGGATATGACTGTGCCCGTCGGCGATGTTGAACGCTGTCTCTGGTGACTATATTCCGGATAGACGCGCGAGTCAAGCACACGGAATGACTCGATTGGCTCAAAGTTGCGCGAGGAGCGCGAATAACTGCCGCTTCTCTGCCTATAGTAATCGCCGCTTTTCTCACGGCCTCTCTCACTGTAATCATCGCGGCCGCGCGAATGCAACGATCGCTCCCGGCCTCGGCTAAATGGCGAACGCGAGCGCCGATGAGCCGAACGCGATCTGGAGCGTGAGCGTGGTCGCCTTCGGGAGCTGATTGGTGAACGGGTGCGCGAGCGCCGACCTAAGCGCCCCGGACCTGGCCGGCCACGTTTAGGCGACAGGCTGCGCGAGATCGAGCGTGTATAGTTTGGACGGCGACCGGTGCGTGCCGTTGGAGCAGCTGGTGGCTGCTGATCGTCATCGCTGATGTCGATGATAGCATCGATGCCAATAGGCCGGCTGTTGGATCGAGTACTGGAGCCACGGTAGCTGTTCTTGCGACGCCCACTCGATGTACTGCCAGCTCCAGCTGTGCCTGCGGGCACTTCGGTGGTACTTTTGGGACTGTTCACACGTATTTTGTAGCGATCCATCAGCTCCTTGGTGCTCTCTTCGTCCTCGTCGCCAAGTTTGAACTTCTCCTTGAGCTCCTTTTTGATTTTATTGACGGCAATGTTAAAGAGCTCGACCCGTCTGCCCTTCCAGTAGGCGATCCACTCGGGCTTGTAGTCGTAGGTATTCGGGTCACATTTCTTTTCCTCCTGTAGCTGCTTATAGCGTCGATTCCAGAACTGTTTCCATTCTTCGGAATAGTCGGGATGCTTCTCCGGATTCGTTTCGTACGTCTCGGTTTCGTCGCGCAACTGCTTCAGCTGCAGCTCCAGCATGCAGCGAAACTTCTCCCATTTGTAGCGCTCCTGGGCAATATGCGATGCCTGCAATGATAGCTCTTTGGGTGTCGGCAGCTTGACGGTTGCTGCTGGGGTCGTATTGCCGGCAATGGCGGTCAGATCTTTACCCAGAGGCGGTGAACGATTCGCGGCCCGGTATGCCGGCATTTGTTCCTCCTGCTTTTTGCGCGCCTTCTTTGGCTGTTGCGACGTCTGCTGTGGCGCTGTGTTAGCAAAATTCTCATCATCATCACTGGAGATGGCATCCAGTGCAATGGCCGAAGCTTCAGATTTGCGCTCATTTAAATTCTTTTTCGGCTTGAGCGAATCCGTTGGCTTCATGTCTTGTACGATTTTACGCACCTCATCCACAAAATCAACGCCGGTGCATTCATCGAAATGAAAGTGATCGCGTACCTGTGAACAAATCTTAGAACGAAAACGACGAAAATCATCGCCATCCACAGCCAAATGGTGAATGCTGCGACCGCATTGCTGCTCTATCAGTTGCACCAATTTGGCGATGGCGGAGCACATGTCGCTGCTGGTGCTGCTGGATGAGCGGCGCAGCTGCTGCAGCTTATCGTAGGCCTTCTGAAAGTGTTTCTTCAGATAGTTAACCCGATGGGTAACCGAGGTCCAGTGTGTGAATATGGAACAGCTGTCGTTGCATGTGTTGCACAGTACACAAAAATAATCGGGATGCACTTGGCCGTTCTCGTGCAGCTCCACCACGTATTCGGTGCCAATGAGAGCGCCACCTTTGTAATTATCAATTTGCTTCTGTATAATTGCTGCTCGCGCCATTTCATCCTCAAATCCGGGCGGCACCGGCTCGCTGGTTAAATAGCTCATCTCTTTCAAAAAGATCTGTAAAATGGGAGGGATTAATAACTAGTGTCCACGCAGAAGTAGAGCCAGACGCATGTCGTAAAAGCGCACTTCAATGCCTTGGGAACTAAATACATACATATATGTATTATTTACTATTTAAAGTAGGGCCGCGGAATCGCTTCATATATAAACAACAACTTGACTCAGATTTCAAAACAAACAGCTGTTTGATGATTGTAAATTACCTGCAATTTACCGCTCAATTTATGCTTCATTCATTTTTGAATGTGTATTGCATATAAATGCATATGTATATCATGTTGTTTATCACGAGTATTTGTTATATCGATTATATATATATATATGTATGTATGTAATCTGCGACATGCGTCCATCTCTAATGACAAAACAATCCAGTTGATTGGCGAATTACCTGATCTTCACTTTGGCTATTTTTCCTTTAGCCTCTATGATGCACTGATTTTGGCACGAAAAGGAACAAGACAAGTATGCACAAAACTATACACACACTCACACAATCACATTCACGTATAACCACGCTCAAATTCAAAGCAGCGGCTCTTTTCTTCCCCTTTTATTATTCTTTTTCTTGATTGCCACAACAAAACGTAGACGTTGTTTTGCACGCTCCACGGAAAGCGATTATGTTGTTAATATCTTTACTTACAGTGCTAATTATAATGTAGTTCACTTACAATTTGCGCAAAGTTAATTGTATTGGCGACACTTCTATTTTTTTTTTTCTGTTCACCGTCCTTAAATAATAGAACTGAAGCATGCACGCAAAAAATTAAGGAATAAAATGAACGTAGTTCAAGTGTAGTTAAATATCGGACAAAAAACACAGTGTTGAAAATTTCCTTGACAATAATTGTTGATTTACTAACTATCGATGGGTTGTAATTTCGATAAATTGGTCGTGATGGCGGGCAAAATTATAATTTTGAATCGTATACTCACTTGCTGCTAGATGAGATCGTTATGTAGGGTAGTTTTAGAAGTTTTTTCTTAGAGATATATATTTTTACATGATTTTAAAATGTAAATATCCATAAAATACCCAAAATAAAAAACAAAAAACAAATAGTAGTTAAGAGTGAATGACTTCTTTAGGACGCGCTTGAATCATAATATTTAAAGAAGTAGTAGTAATATATATTAAAGTAGTATTATAATTAACACAAGTACCTAATACGAAAATGCTCATTCAAGTGCCTGAGTGAAAGAAAGACTTGATTAGGGTGCTGCTGATTCATTTATACATAAATCAATTTACAAGAAATCTGCCGCATGTTCTCAATTAACTTCCCCTTTTGGGGTGACCCGCACCTGCTGTTGACTATATCTCGAAATGTTGCTTTGTAATCATCGCCCCATAACATTTTGATGAACTTGCTGCAGCTTAACGCGTATTGCTTTCGAAAATGCGTTAATGCCCTCATATATACATACATACACACACCGTACATACATATATAATTACATTTTGGGATATTATGAAGTGTGGTGGGTAGCACTAGCACCATCAACAGCACCAGCAGGGCAGACAAATGGCAAATGGGTGCTCGATTCCACGTCCCAAAACAATTTCACACCCACCCCCCCAGGAGAAAAATGAAAAGAAACGAATCGCAACGCGACGGCAGGCGATGCGACGTGTGCGCCGTGATAGATGTATCACGTACACGAATTCCACATCTGAATAGAGAAGGGCCGCATTAATCGCAACATGATGATGATAATGGCAATATAAGCGACTATACAATGAGTTGACCATATGCGCACATAGACAATAAAATGTGAAGCGGCTACAACTGGTGCAACAAGCATCAGCCTCAGCAGCATCAGGAGCAGCCGCAGCAGCAGCAGCAGCAGCAGGACCAGACGGGTGGGCACACAGTCAGTTCGCATTTAATGAACACAACGGTGACATGAGTTATGGGCTATTTTTTTTTTTTTTTTTTTTTGTAAACCAAAAATTGCGAATCAGCACAGCTGTTGGCTCTGTGGTGAGGCTGCGCCTAGGCCAGCGGAGAAGAAGGGGGGACAGCAGCAGCAGCCACAGCAGCAGCAGCAACAGCAGCAGTAAGGGACATTTCGACAGCGGCATGAATGCAAATGCTATTTTGCATTAACATTTCGAATGAGCATGGGGCAAAGCCGTCGTGCTCAACCAAACTCAAAAGTCCTTCCGTCCGTTCGTTCGTCCGTCCGTGCGTTTGCTCGCCACGCTGATGAAGATGAGCGCATTCCGATTACAGTTAACACAGACAGAGGGAAGACAGTGACACCCCTTCAAATACGTAGCCGTAATTCGTGTTCGAATTCGGCCTCCGATGTGTGTGATATGTGCGCATAATATGTTCCTTTAGACAAAGTGGCAGACCCAGACATATCGCTTGATCGTTCTCTTTATGGAGTATACTCAAATATATGCATGCAGTTTGCTTAGCTCTATATGTGCTTATAATAATAAATGGATTATATGTGGAGAATTTCCAAAAATTCCCATGAGACTTAGCATTAACATCCAAATTATTTTCTGTACTTAAAATTAAGATAAAAATGTGCAAAAAATATTGGGGAAATTGCAAATTGAAAAACACTATTATATTAATTCAATTGAAAATTATCAATAATTTATAGCTTTATCTATAATATTATAAATAATATATAAAAATTGCGTAAATGTCTTTGTGGCTCTGGCTTCACACTGAATTGTTATTTATAATTAATTCTCTGTAACAATTAAAAACATAAATAGATCGAAAATACATTATATAGATTTCAAAATCTAAGTTACAAAGGGAGGGTTTTAAGGAGCTTTAATATGAGGCTATACTGAATTTATGGTGATTCAGTTCCGAACCATAGAACTTTTCAAGGAAAAGGAACTACTTTATGAAAGTTTCTATTGAAATGTCCTTTAGACTAACTTTATTTACAAAAAAGTTATAAGTTATATTACAAAAATATATATATTTTTGCCAAATATAAAGAAATATAAGTATAATAAAAATGATGTTCATAAATATTTTTTTAATTAAAATTTTTAATTTAATTTAATTTAAATAATTTTACCATTTTTTGTTTAAATCATAGTTGTTATATACTTTGTTTTTATTTATTTTATTATTTTCAATATGTTTAGTGAGCTTGACTATTTTGTGTTTTATAGTAACTTGTTCAATAAAAGTAAGCTTTCTTAAAAATACAATAAAATATATAATATAATAAAATGAAAATATATTTCTGTATACGTACATATATACACATATAGTTTATATATTATATACATATATGCCATAAAGATTTGCAAGTTATGCGATGCAAACAGCCGAGGCGAGGCTCATCGTTTTACAGGGTATTCCCATGTCATGAATGCAATTGATGCAATTGTTGCTTTGTTGTAAGTTTTGTTGTATCTGTGCAGTTATTGTTGTTGCAGCTCTTTCATTCTTTTTATGTGTGTGTGTATGTGTGTGTGTGTGCAATGTTTCGATAGACATTTCTTGGCAAGTTGTGCGCAATTCATTAAGCGAATTCTGCTCGAATGCGAATAATGCAAATTGCTCTATTTCGGGCTAACTGCAAAAACGCCAACAGCGACGACGACGACGACGACAAATTTATTTTTTGCTGCCCATGTGGCATGTGGCAACTGGCAATGTGGCAATGTGGCAAGTCGAAGGAGCGAAACTTCCATCAATGAAAAACCAAATGAAAAGAAATGAAATGAAATGAAATGAAATGAAATGAAATGAATGCCGTGTGTTATGCAGACTGAAGAAGCGTTTGCACTAAAAGTTCAAAAATTCCATTAATTACTCTTCCTTACGCTCTCGCCATCTCCCTCTCGCCCCGTCTAAGCCTCTTCATCTGGCTCTGCTTCTTTCATTCTTCTTATTTGTCGACTGCTAATTTTTAAGAATTTGAAATTTTCTTAATGGATTCGCTGTGTTGCCGCACGGATTGTGAAATAGTTTTGCCTTTTGGCTTGGGAATCAAGAGTTTTTGACTTTCGTTCAGCTTCTTCCTCTTCTACTTGTGCGTGTGTGTGTGTGCCATTTTATTTTTTGTTTAACCCTAAATTGTGTCTGCTTTACATACACATTATTCCCACCCCTCGCTGGGCCGGATGTGCTCATTGTGCATCATCATCAACAACTACTTATCACCCAGGGGAATATGCAGCTTGCCCAGCTGCAGCTGCTGCTGCTGCTGCTGCTTCTCTCGCTCTCAATCCCAAAGTCCAACTACAACTCCAACTCCCAGTTAAAGTCCGAGTTCAAACTTTTGTCGCATGCCTTCAAAAATGCGTAAATCAAACGAAAAACAAACGGGCAACGGCTTGCCCATGAATTAGTATTAGTGTAAAACGGCTTTTAATAAGCCGGACGGACGAGCGGACAGGCGGACGGACGGCCTAAGGCCCGCATCTCTATCCGCAGCCATTGCATGTTGGGCGCCATTAAGTGGACCAGGATGGTAGCCAAGGGCGGTAGGCGGTAGGGGATAGGGGAGGCTCACCAGCAGCGAGTAACGGGGCTTCGGCATCCGGCATCCAACGACAAAGTCAATTGCGGTAGCCGCAAAATGGAATTTTGTTTTAAAAAGTTCTGCACTGCAAAATGGCTCGCAATGGGCGCATAAATTTCAAAAGCCCTTCTACACTGCTTTCTTTTTACCCTAACGGGCATTACGAGTTGGTTGTAAGTGATGTAACACAATGCTATAAGTACATATATCATATGTCATATATTATATACATATATACATACATACATCATAGTTTCTGCCTAGTGTTTATATTACTATCTATAGTTCCTAGTTCCTATATATTATATCTGTATATGATATTTCACAATCGTATGAATGATTGCCTGATAGAAAATTTCATATATGAAACACATATGTATATAAAATGTGCATTAGTTAAATAGGGAAACAGATATGATGGCCATATTTGAATACTATATATAGTATGTATAATATATAACTTTATAGAGCATAACTTTTTAATCTTAGTACACATATAAGACAGCCCTTTTCTCTTTACATATCTTTTTGTTTTTCTAAATTAACCCCAAGAGCAATCGAGAAGTTCCAAGATATGTATTATAGAGGTATTAGAACTGCATATATCTTCAGTTTGCTTCGATAAAGAGATATACTATGTATTACATTTTATGATTATCTATCTTATTATGGTCTTTACTGTATCCTACCGTTATCTTATTATATTATAAAATTACAACGAACAAAATTCGAGATTTCTATACCATATATAATCAATAATATATAATGATCTATATATATATATACATACGATATCAGAGCCTTTTCTCTGTATAAATAAAAGTGTGTCTAATATTCGTAGTGCTGTCGTCTAGAGCTTGCTTTTCTATATTAGTTTTTTTCGAATTCTTTTTTTGGTTTTTAGTTATAGCCATAATCTTTGTGTAGTGGGGAATCCCATAACTTTTGCAACAAGCTGGCAACGCTGTTCGGAAACTATTAATTTGAAATAAATACAGTATATATCATTTCAAATGGCTCAAAGGTGGCTTTCAAATGTGCATGTGATTCCCCCCTCTAGTCATAATTTAGAATGTATTTAAAACCACATTTTGTAATGGTAGCAAAAAGAGTGTAGAAAGAAAGAGAGGGAGAGAGAGATCCCAAGTTCACTTTAAGCACAGATGTGTTAGCCATCCATGTGATATATGGCCATAAGACAGCGATATCAATGTATTATTATTAGCGCATAAAAGTTGGTAAAAACAAATTATGCGCCTTATGCTGGCAA